TCCAGACAAACGCCCAATGGATCCGACATTTCGTTCGCAAACATAATGACTATAAATACGATTCTGTGGTCAACGATACCATCACTTATGACTTACTCTTCACTTTAAATCGCATTCAAAATGAAGACTTAAATATCAATGAATTATTTGCAGATTACAGACAAACTATTTGTTAATTACACTCACATAATTATGAGAATTTGTAATATTTTTGTTTAAACTAGTATAATTTTTATTTACAATACTTTATAAACACATTATTAATTACATAACACAAAAAAAGTAAAAATAAAAGTTTTTAATACACAAAAAAGTTTTATGTAATGCGTCCGCGACAGGACTCGAACCTGCAATCTCCTGATCCGGAATCAGATGCCTTATCCATTAGGCCACGCGGACTCGTAGGAACGCTATGCTTTACATAACCTGTTAGTATGTGCTATATAGCACTCATGAGCAACATTGAGAGTATACTGTTTGCAATAATTCATGTGTTGAACAATACTATTGAATAATATTATAATAAATTATACATTATGAAAACAATTTTTATGTCTCATTTATTATATATTTTATTTTATTTAAATTACATTCATATTTTATATGAATTTATTTTACCTGTTGAAGTGTTTAGCTTGATAAACACTTTTATAATGAAAATTGTTTTTCCATTTACATATTCATAAAATTTTGTTTTCAACCAATTACTACTAATCATATTCTTGAATCTTTTAAATCTATTAATTTATATTACATTTATTCAAATAAGATTTGGATATTAAAAGATTTTTACTTATTTTAAAGATTTTAGTTGTTATTTAAAATTCTGGATCTTATTATAAATAATGTATATACTATATAGGAACCTGTATTATATTTCTAAGAATTTGCAACAATTTTAAAATTATCGATTAAAGCTTTTAGCTCCCAATAGAGTTTGTTCAATACGAGTTTATTAATTATTTATAAAACTTTTAATTTTAAATTAATAGTAATTTAAAAATAATAAAATAATAAAACTCCCACATATAAAATATCATTTTAAATCCCATATCTGTATAACTTTTAATGCAATGACCAATTTAAAAGCAAAGTTTTCGAATTAGACCTAAAATTAATGTTAATTATGCAACTGATTTGGTCTGTTAAACTCATCAGATATGCCCGATCATTGACTAACAATTTAGACATTTATTCTCCATAAATCTATTTATACCAAACGTACGACAATTTTTTATTACAAAATATCAACATAAATTTGCGAAATTATATTTCCAGTTACAGTACTAATTACGTATTGTTTGCTCACAAACATCATCAGTTTGTGTTCATATCACTTCACTTATGCAATAATATTAGTTTTCTGAGTCCACCTCTGGTTTGCCATCAATAAGTCATTTCATTCAATAAAAACAAGTTTTGTCTTTCATATGAGTAGATGTCTGCATCTGAATGGCTATTAATAGATGTGTTCCGAGAATATAGTTTTTGTATTAAATATTTATTCCTTAATATAATAATATGCTTAACTGAATGCCGTTCCCCTATATAAATGTTTGTCCATTTCGTATATACTTCTATTAGGACTTTGGACGTCATTTGAATGTAATCTCTCTCTTAATATAAATTAAGAGCTAATTGTAAATACAATCACATAAACAATATGAAACTACTGATCATAAAGTTGTTGACAATTATATTCTTTGCATTCATTGTTGAGTCGATTCCTACCAAAAAACAATGTATTGAATTGATGACAGCATTGGATACATTCAATGGTATACTATTTAACTGTTTATTAAATAATAGCAATTTTATTTTGTGTAGATAGTTGGTCAACTATTTGATGTTAATTTTGATAAGTAATCTTATTTTTTATTTTTAAGAAAAAATAGGAGACTTGGCTACTGTTAACGGCGCCGGTATTGACAGTATTTATGGCATTTATGCTGATTGTTTGCGGGCCCGGGAGGGCATTCGCTTCAAACGCAAGTTTATCAACTATTTACCTGAAACTGCCAAAAATTAAGTGAACTTAATTTAAATACTCATATTTAATTAATTGTTATTCTTTGTTAAACTTATAAATTAAAAATATAAAACTGTAAAATTATACACATATATTTACCTATTAGTAGAAATAGCTGTGAGCTAGTATTATAATTTGGTTTAATGACAATTCACTACTGAATCTCCCATACAGTAATAGTTTATTCATATTTTTGTATATTTATATTTTGTCAATGACTTGATTATCAGTTTTCGTTTATATTGAAATCACATAANTGGGCACAGGAACTGTCTTTTTCTCAATCATTTCATTTATGGCTACAATATTGATGTCATGAACTGAGCACAAACTACCGAACCCGACATATAATGTCTCATCTACTGTCACATTCGTGTCTAATATGTAATCATTATTTTTAAGACTATCGTCAAAAACAATTGAAAATAAATTGTTGTCATTTTGTAATTGCCATCTAAATAGAACCAGATCATTGTAGTATTGATTCAGTAAATAATATACTGGGCTATTAAAAATATTAATACAATAAATTAATCAATCATTATTAAAATTATCAAGCATAATTCAATAAATCAGAATAATACTTACTCATAAGCAGCCTTATTTGTACTAATATGACCATGATTACCACCTATTGCTAATTGTGTCTTAAATAAACTAAAAATACTAAATCCAACAAATTTGTGCCATTTATCTGTTGTTTGTAAGATTGACATCAAATATTCGGGTGAAGGCATGGGTAGCAAACTGTCATCTCTAAGCCACTGGCGCCTAATACATGGACTCAAATTGGCAAACAGGCCGTCCCTCACACAATAGTCGTTGTATTTGTTACCCGAGTGACCGAAATAGTCCCAAATCAGTGAATATTTAGCATCTGATGAATCCATGGGTGAACTCTGTATTCAATTTTATATTATTTTATTTTATAGTTTAATATTTACTATTAGTTGGTTATTTAATAGTAACTGACCCAGTAAGGGAGAGTAACATTTGGATTAACCCGTCTCATTTCAAGTTCAAATTGGTTGCTAAACCATCGCATCCAAAGTGGAAGCTTTAGATAATTTATACCACTTTTCCATAGGTTTTCATATAATCTCTTGAATCGCTTCATAGCTCCCGATGAATACAGTTTCATAAACACGTCGATCACATCCATGCGCTCGTCGTGTGTCAGACATTTGAAATCTCTGCGGATATACAGCTTAGCACATGGAGGTTGTTGTGGCCTAAAGCGAGGATTCTTTAAGAATCTGTTCTGGATATAAGTGCGGGCCTTCTCGACCTCGTGATCCGTTAATAGGATATCTTGTGGGCAAGTTTTGTGTAGCTTTTGTATACATTCCCTCTCATATGCTAATCATATTATAAAATAATTAAATATTTATTTTGAATAATTAGAGAAAACAGTTACCTTTTAATCCGTTTAGCGAAATGGCATATTTTGATTCAATATTACATTTAATGAAACCTAATTTTACAATAAACACAACAAAAATATGTTTTACAATTTTATTCATTATATTTTGGAAGTGTTTAGGGTTTTAATGATTATATAAAATGTTATGAAATAGTAATTAAAGTAACCTGTTATAAGTCTGGAAAATAAAAATTTGCAATTAAGTGAAAATTTTTAAATTAAATTTTGATATTATTTTTAGACTATCCCTGTTCATTAACTAATGTACCACAGCCAGCACACATTTTAACACTACTGAACCGTAGTTGTGCTCAATTTTATTAATCACAAGCTTTTTTGAGAAATAAGTTTTTTATTTATTTAAACTAATTTATTGTTTTGACAAATTATTACAAAATTTTATATCCATTTTTTATTAAAATTTATTTATTATATAAAATGTTTTCTAATAAAAATCACATTGCCATTATAATTGTGTGTTATTTTACAAACTGCATTCATACTGTTTTGTCACAGAAGTCTAACTCTGAAAAAATTCAATCGATTCGTGAAAATATAATCAGATATTATGGCAAAAGTATTGCCAGTGATGTAGAGTCCGTCAAAAATGGCAATTGGTTTTTTGAGAGATATCTCACTGAATACAATTGTAAGTCTCTCTCTCTCTCTCTCTTTCTCTCAAATTTTAATTTAATTCATATTTTCTCCAAAGTCAAGGAAAGGGAGGCGGAAAAGGCTATAATAGAGGCGTTTGACTACTTCCATAAGGAAAGGTTTCATGAGTTGACTGACACATACTTCCCGTCCGAAGGTTTCGCAGTGGGAGGGATATACCGATTCGGTCGGTCCAAGTTTGGACAGCCATTACTCGGTGCTGTCATGAATCACATCCGACCTTTTGGACTGCGATTAGCCAAAGAATCCATTATAAAATTAACTCAAAAGTACTGTTTGTATAACATTTACAAAACACTATTTAATGCAAAAGAGAAGAATTTTATCGCTTATGTTGTGTTCACTAATACAACGCTTGAAAACACAGAATTCAGTGAGTATTACAATATTGCATAACTTTATTGCTATAAAATTTTACACATTACAATATACAGTACTGTCTATAAGTCTCACTATACTATTCATTTTACAGTGTAATTCAGTTCACTTAAACTCTGTAAAATTTACACTATACAATACATTTACATAGTACTTTATGATACTTTACTATAAATATTTCTAAATTTCGCTCAAATGTATTCTAATATTAATTAAGACTTTATTATAAAATTTTGGGCATAAATTTCGAGGTCTATTTCAAAAGGCGATGTTCTTAATGAACAAATACATACCGGGCGCTCCCCTTAAGATATATGTCGTGGGTATGAATAAACTGATGGAAGTGTCGGTCAAACTATTGACAAATCTGTTGAAGCCGTCGCTCAAAAACCGCATTCACTTCGTCGACCGATTGAATCAAATGGAGGACTTAATCAGTTTAGATGAGGTGCCGGTGCACGCGGGCGGACGTAACACACAGTATCAACGCATACCTCCAGGCGTTAGGAGTGGGAAGTGTTTACCACATCTACTCACGAATATTAGTCCTAAGGATTGGGATATTTATCGCGATATTAATATACTCGCCATTCAAGAGGGGATGAGAGAATCAAATGTCACCACTTCTGTTGACCAGTATTTAAGAGGTTGTGACGAGTATTATAATAATAGGAAACAATCAGTGAGTCAACACACCATTAGTCTGTAAACAATTATAAATCTGTATATGTTTTGTGAATAATTAGTAAATTAATATATTACAATAATATTTTAATATTCTGTTAATCAATTGATTCTTTAATAATAAAATCATTAAAATATATATTTGAAATTTTAACATAAATTGCGGACAATACTTTATATAATTTCACATAAAATATTTATAGTGCGACAAATACTCTCATAAATTTTTATAAGACACAATAAACCAGTAATATTATGTAATACAGTATTATATTTAAACAAGGAGAGATAACATATTTTAACAAAATTTTTGCATATTTATCAATAATATGTTTTTATATTACTTTAATCTTAAAAATAGCCTAAAATTGTAAAAAGTACGCCAATCTTCAGGACATCGTCTGACATAAGGCTGCCTACCAGTGGAATATATACCCTGTTCCTTCACAAAATCACCTGTTTTTGGGGCGTCCAATATCATATTTGGTGCCGATATAATACCCACGTGATGGACGGAGTCACCAAAAAACACCAAATCACCGGCCTGTCTGTCACTGTATGCCAAGCGATAGCACTGTTCATCGATATACTGGTCGCGCGACACTCTACTTATGATCTTCCCGGTGCCCCCATAGACGGTATACTGGGCCAGTCCGCTGCAGTCAAACCCTATGGTGTCGGCGCCGAGTCCGGTACCGCGCGATTTACCCCTCCACGAGCCCCCACCCCATGAATCTGTGTCTCCTATCTGTGATCGGGCAGCCGCTACGACACGATCGCCACCATTGACACTACAGTCCTCTCAAATGAGTTACTAGTATTATATTTATTGTGATTTACAGTATAATTAAATACTCACGAATCGCATAACAACTTAAAGCAATAGTCAAAGAAAGTGATATAAATTTCATGTTTAGTTTTAGTTTTGAATTGTTTTTTATATAAATACTGTATTAATTTTTAAAATCTAAATAACACCAATTATACCATTTAGTACTAGTTTATATAACTTTGTGATGCATGCATTTCAATTTTGTAAGTAATGATACGTTTATGAAAGATTACATTATTTTTTTAAGTATTAACAATAATAAATATATAACTCAAATAACAAATTGATATACATTTTAGGCATTTCCTTCTTATAATGCACATAAAGCCTAATACAAACATAATTAACTCAACATCATACATTTAAATAGGATATTAAAATATGAAACATTTATTAAGAATTTATTACATAAATAAATTTTACTGATGTTCTTATGTAAACATTACAGTAAGTAGACATCTAATCTATAATATATCTATTAGTATAATCTGGATATTTTTACATTCAAATCCATAGAAAACATCTAATACAAAATAACATTATAATATAGATATCATAATTTATAATGTTCAAAATAAATGGCTTTTAGCTCCTGAGTTAAAAAATGAATGTCACACATGGACTCTAGAATCTGGAGTCCAGATTTCTTATAAAGTGCATTGGTTATTTAAAAAATAAATTATTTGTCAAAAGATAAGACCAATCATTTACAACATTAAGAGTGGGATGACATTATTGATAACAACAAACAAAAGTTATACACTATTCATATTAATGAGCATTTTGGACTCCTATTTCACATGTAATTCAACATTGAAATCTTATCAAAAGTATTGTATTCATTGAAATGCAATGTATTGTAAAGTAATAAAAAGTAGTGTTCAAGTATTGCATTCAGTGATCATAAGTTATGATTCATAAGGACTGCGAGAGTCACGAGTTGTTTCAGTCGACCACTGCTTTCATTGAATACACGTTTAGTTAGTTTTGGTTTATAGTAATCGCTGTTAAATACAATTGATTACCAGTTCATTAGTGTCGGCAATGGACTCCAAACACAAACAATTGGTATTCAAAATACTTTTAATTACTTTATTTCATTGATTACACAATTGATAACTATTTGATTGATTCACAGCTGAGTCCAGTCATTGAAGACAATACCATTGCTCTGATGAATGTCTCGAAGACTATTGATATGCGTTTGAAGTTAAGACAAGTGGATGCAAATGGGTTTAAGAGTGATGTCCAGTTCAGACACAGTCCTCATGGAGAGGACAATGTGTTCGTCGCTCTGTTCGATGACAACGACATCGACTTCGAGATTGGATTCGATAACAGATCCATTAAGCGAAGAATGGCTTTCACTATGACTTACGGCAAAGAGTATGAATACATCATAAGTGGTGGATTGGCGAAACTCGTGGCACTGGAAACCAATGGCAATCACTTGAGATTCTTGAGTCCCAACAAACCGATGGCCAATCTGGTGGTGGATCTCGTGGCACAAAAAGCACAGATCAGTCGCGAGAGCTCAGAGATCCTGTGCTCACGGATTGGGTTCGCTTTCGAGGCCGAGAAGAGACGACAGAAAGTGGACGACAACCGGAAGATCACTATTAATATCAGCCAAATGATGGGAAAGATAATTGAGTTAAAGATAAGTCCAAATGAGACAATCGATGACATCAAGAATATGATACGTGATAAGGAAGGCATTCCTCTGGGTCTGCAAAAACTCATTTTCGATGGCAAACAACTCGAAGATTGCGCGATTGTCAGTGATTACAACATTGGAGAGCATTCGACAATCCATTTGGTGTTGCGATTAAGAGGTGGTGGCGGAGGGCCGGGATGTACACCACCTCCGGCTGTCAATGATGGCATCGGTCCGCGAGGTGCCATTGGTTTCGGTGATGAGACGCGCCAACTGTTTGGTCGCAATCGTAGGAAATTCATTGCCGACGAAGACATTGAGATCAAGCCGTTTGTCATTGAACTCAGAATTCGAGACAAACACTCGCTTTCATTCAATTAAACACACTTTCATTTCACTGATGATTATAATTACATTTAAAATTTCTCATTTTATATTATACTTAATGCTAAATAATTTTTAATTATTATTACATTTAATATTCATTTAAATTCTATGTGAAACTTTTGTTTGCTTTTTAAAACTACTTTTAAATTTATTACAAATTATTGTGTTTTTATGGTTTTATATTCATTTTAATTATTCTTTCGATTGAATAAAATTTATTAAAATAATATTTGTTTGTTCACTATTCATTATGACCTTGGTACAGTAATTTAATTAAATGTACTTAACTAACAAGTAAGAAAAAGACATTTCCATATTACACAAACATTTATTATAAATACAGTATTAACAAATTATTAGACACTATTTTGAAAAAAAGGTTTGTCAAAATTGTCTATGTATTAGTATTTAATTTTGATCTAGTATTTATATTATTATAATAATATAATTATTGAAATATTTGGTGATCTACTGTACCTTATATACAAATTGAAATTCATTCAAATGTTTACAACTATTAAAAGGAAAATTATTTGAAAGGAAATACTGTTAATATTGAACTGAATTTGATTCACCAAATAAAAATAGCTACTAATATTAGTTGCAATTTATATAACACTCCATTTTTAGATTTTACAAAATTCATACTAAATAAGGAGCAAAATTATTATATAATAAACACCGGTATTATATTAACAAATAAACATATTTCAAAATACTGTATGTCTTGTCTACATTTACAAGTTAGTCAAATAATAGTCTACTTTATAAGTTACAATATTTCAATAATATAAACTCAAACTTATATGAATACTGATGAATAAATCTCATTATAAATAACATTTGATTGTTTATACAATTTGATGAAAAAATATTTTTTGAAAATCTTATTCAACATAATTACTATTAACTTTATGATGTGGTTGACACAAATTGTGTTTAATAATTAAAACAACTGTGCGTTTCATCAAACACTTGAGACAAACTTATTAGATATTTGATAGGCTTTCTGTAAGAAAAAGCTATCTCTAAATACAAATATTTGAATTATTTTATGAGTAATTATGAATAATATGGGTAAACTAAATAAGGCGGCGTACACAAAGTACGTACGCAAAATTTTGGTCAAAAATTTACCCCTCTCCCCCCTACACGCCCATCGTACATAGGA